CCAACAATCTTGAGATCTTGTGATCCTTGAGAGGGCAGTCCCCAKAGCAACACCTTGCCGTCACCACTTGTACTTAGTATCTAAAAAACAACCCAGTTAATGTATAATAATTTAGGAAAAGAGCAATCTAATATCAATAGTGTACATGTACATGCCTGTCAAGTACATGCCTGTCATGGGAGGTGTTGGTAATTTTTGTAATCTACCTGATATTTCTTTCCTTTCGAAGCTGCATCACTTATCCACATAACCTAGAAATAAATAAATATTATAAATTAATTGGGTTATCAAGTAAATACACATCTTACATCTAGATATAGTTACCTAGTATAAGACTATGGATTTACATGGATATTCATGATAAATTATAATCAATCCTCAATTGGAAATATATATTGAGGTAACAATATTAGTCCTGAAAGGATAGTTTGGCAAACAAAATAAATGACTGTGCGATTGGTARAAGAATGATTTGAAACAAATGGCAAAATGATAAATGAACCAGRAAACAGATGAATTGAATGAATGCCTAGAAAAATGGATGAATAACTGAAAATTTAAATATTATAAATGACTGAGAGAATGAATGGATGAATGGATTATTGAATGGTTGATAAAGACAAATCACTATAAAATTTTAAGGACAATTTTTTGGAATGCCAAACAACAAAGTAATAAGCAAGATATTGAGCAAAGAAAACTAACCTTTGTGACAGGTTCTCTGTGTGATTCATTCCCCAGCCCAGACGTCCCTATTAACAAATCATCTTCTTTACTCAAATCCCACACCTGTACCTCACCTGATAAACAAATAAAAAATAAATAATTAAGGAAATGATATCTTTGTATTACATATGTATTATGTAAATTGCAAATAATGTTATCTAACAATATATGTCACTGACAGACCTGTAATTCAGTTCATGAAGTTGCCAATGGCAACATAACTCTGAGATTRTGAGAGTTGCTATAATTGCAAGGAGATACTTAACAAGCTTCATGTTAGCATATGTTTTCAATGACTCTTTGTGACTGTCAACACGCACTCGAAGCAGAAACATACATTTTAAAACCTTCTTTCACTGTAGTTTTAAGTACAATTTATGCCAAAGAATAGAATTTTAAACACATTTTGCTCCTCGTAGAAGCAGTTTTATTGATTATGACACAGGTAACCCTTCCTTTGATCTGGTGTCTCATAAAAGCTAGTAAAATAAGAGTGGATTTCATATGACTGTGCAAAAAACACGGTTACTTTCGCGCTGTGTCACCATACCGTGCCGTAGCGGTGATGTATTGTTAAATCTTTATTTTTATTTGGAATCATAGAAGCGAGGTTCCGTGAACGTCCCGTGTCCTTGTTGTGATCCGTGCCGTTGCACAGTCATACGAAATCCGCTCTAGTCATGACATTAGCTAATGGGCACATGGTCTAGTGGTAATGTCTGTTGTAAAGCGAGAGGTCTGGAGTTTGAGCCCTACCACAGACATTATATGTTACACAAATCTTACCATTAAATGTCCCTCCAGCAATAACAGCAGGTAGCTTAGGATGAAAAGCTATGCTCATTAAACAACTCTAAAAACAAAACAAAAATGATCCCTCTTAACAAATGCACTCCAAAGAAATCACCATTTTGTCACAAGTCTATATTATTTTACCATGATTTATAACACTTTATGATTTCATTGTCAGTGACCAAAAAAAATCATTACCTGACAAATAATCTTTCTGGGAATACTGTTATGCTACAAGTAGTTCATCTCAGTTTGTACAGCTTGACATAATTACTCACCGACAAGTCTATGGTTGAGTCTGGTTTGTTAGTTTTCAAGGTCTTTCTGTCTATATTCCACGTACAAAGGGAAGACTGCAAAAAAAGCCACAAAATAATCAGTGACAKATCCTGGGGATATCATTGGGTACATAGGGTGTCCCCTCCTAATTTCCAATTCATATAATGTAAATTGGTTGTTGCCTCTAGTGATGGATCCAGGAATTTATGAATTTATCCCCTGATGGTGTACCCCTTGGAAAAAAGTCCTCTAGATCTTCCCTGAATAATAGTGCTGCCACTTTAAATATTCGATTTGATGATCATGCACTAAGGCCCATTTCAGATGTCGATGTTTTGCAGCTTCGAATCTAATTGCTTACATGCAGTTCTTGAGAAGTTTGCAGTCTACATCGATGGATATTTAACAGATTATAGTAAGTTTGTCCGATTGGACAAAATCAACTAATGCCAATGAATTCAAAGTACGAAATGTTCATTAAACTCAACTCCACCAATTAGATAGACTCGACAAAGAATTAACGTCGAAATACAGGATGTTTTAATGTTTGACTTCTAGTTTTTTACATGTAATAATAAATATAGTCAGAATTGAAAGATAAACTCAAGAAAATGCTCATCAAATCATCAATAATTACATGTCATAATATTGCACAATTTACCGTTTTAAATAAAACCAAGAAAATAATTCATTAACTAAAAGTGAATTCTTTACCTTATGAGTACACCAATCTTCATGATCAAACCTTCCATAATTAACACAGTGTCAAGGAATATTATACAATGTAGGTGTACAGATTAAAGCTAGAAACCTTTTCAACTTTTGCACGAAAATGAATAAAATGTGTTTAGAAAGGATATGAAGCAGCAATCACAGAACCAGTTGAATTCCAAGACAGCCCAGTTACTTGGAGCTGYAATGACATTGAATTTTGTATTACTCACTTCTAATGTTCACTGAACTTATATGATCCTAATTCATACAATGTAGCCGTCTGAAAATACTATTATAATAGCTGAATTTTTGGTTGTCAATTGATTTCAGATTGATTAACTGATGTGACTAGATGAATGGTTGATTGATTACATGTAACTCCGCTAAATGACTCTACTGATTGACTACCGGTACATGTAGCTGATTAATTAACCAGGTAGATGATTGATTGATTGACTAACTGAATGGATGATTGACTGATTGTCTTAAAGCATGATTGATAGATTGGCTGAATGATCAATTGATTGACTGGCTGAATGACTGATTGATTGATTGACTGGCTGTAAGGATGATTGATTGATTGTCTTAAAGAATGATTGATTGATTGTCTTAAAGAATGACCAATTGATTGATTGAATGGCTGAATGATTGATTGGTTGACTGGCTGATTGACTGGTTGTATGGATGATTGATTGATTGTCTTAAAGAATGATTGATTGACTGGGTGAATGATTGATTGATTGACTGGCTGATTGACTGGTTGTATGGATGATTGATTGATTGTCATAAAGAATGATTGATTGACTGGGTGAATGATTGATTGATTGACTGGCTGATTGACTGGTTGTATGGATGATTGATTGATTGTC